TGCAAGGAAGATTGAACAAGGGTCCAACAGAAGGAACCGAACAGCAGGTTCTCACTACTTAGCTTCCACACCATTTACTACCTTAAGCCTTCCTAACTGTAGGGCAGCCCACCAACACATACACAGCTTTGTAGTGTCCATCCCTCAGATACTGAAGCTGAGGCAGAGATGAATAGCTCTTTCAAGTCATGAGTGAATGAGACTTTTGTTCAGATAATGAATTCTGTCACATGATCCTCCACTGAGGTGAACTCGCCTTAAAACATTTTTATGCCATTGTGTCTTTTCCCTGCAGGGAGACTCCAAGAAATGTTTAGGACTTCCCCCAGGGCTCTGCTGTGAAACACGCCTGGGAAGTAGAGGGCAGTTTTACTGAAAAAGAACAAAGTACAGGAAAAATAGGGAAAAAGGCATGTTTGTTCTTGGTGTAAGGTGGAGCACCAGAAAAAAAGTTCTGGGGCTGCCCAAGAACCAGTGTTTGGGTATTACAGTAGATATCTAGGGAGCATCAGAGCAGAGGTGTCTTCAAAATCAGGATGATTGAAATGAGCTTTGTGATGCATGCTCCACACTTTAGATATAGGCTATGGAAAACTTAGCTACCTCCACATATCCATTACCTTGGAAGGACTGGAGGAAAAAACCCTAGAGTTTAAACTCTAGAGGATAGAGGATGTCTATATCTGAAGAGGATCCAAATTTTCTGCACTGCAACACACAATCAATGGTTGGGTGGGTTTCATTTTTATCTGCAGTAATGCATATCTTAGTTATTTGATTTTCAGTTTGACACTTCGAATAATTTCATTGAAATTTGGTAAAGAATATTGCACAGTATACTGAATATGCTTTCCAGAAACTATGCTAGAACTTTCTAAGAGACCCATGTTGCAAAGTCCAAGGAAGGGCCTGGAGATGCCCCATTCTCCAGACCAACTTTTACAGGGCATGTTTTGTCATTATTCGCATCATGCCCAGCACCATTTGTGATAAACCATACTACTAATTACTATTATCTAAAGTTTTTTTTATTATTATTATTGATTATGTGCCATCAAGTTGTTGATTCTTAGCGACCACATGGATAAATTTTCTCCATGACAATCTATCCAAACCTGGGCCTTCAGGTCTGCCAATGGTATTATATAATTCTGAATACAAAACAGCAAACATGAATTGTACTGAGAATATTTATTTGCTTTCAGTGCTATTTTCAATAAATACTGGTATCATATTTATGTCTGAGGTAAAATAAATTAACAATCAAGAATCTAGACCTATAAATTTATGCAGCATTATTTCTTAACCATCGTACAGAAATGTTGTATTTTCTTCCGTGTTGCTTCAATAATATTAAAAACTTTTCCTTTGCTGAAAACTGGTAAAGAATGGTTATTGCATGCTAGATTTCCAATGTGCTTTTCGAAAATCACACTAGAGCTATTCTTAAGAACATCACATCAGCATTACAGGAAGAAATAGGCCATAAGGATGCACTTTGGGCCAATCAAGGTAAGCACTGTATGAAAACCACAATGCTTATTACATTCTTATTATCTTCTTAATGTATGGCCTGGAATAGCAAAGTGCTTGCAGGTATATATTGTCAAAGGGTTTCATGGCCAGCATACAATGGCTGGTGTGGGTCTTCCGGGCTGTGTGGCCGTGTTCTTGAAGTTTTGTTTCCTAACGTTTTGCCAGCACCCACAGAAGGGTCACATCACCCTGGGCACAGAGAGAACTGCTCCTGTCTGTGCTCCTGCACTCTGAAGATGCCGGACACAGGTGCGGGGGAAACATTAGGAAACAAAACTTCAAGAACACGGCCACACAGCCCGGAAGCCCCACACCAGCCATTGAGAAACACTGCTCTGGAGCTTTGAACCGCTGATTTGACGCATGCGCATGAATACCATCGAACTCTGGAATGAATTTCTAGGTGAATCTGCCAAGGATTCGCCGCAGGAATTGAACGGG